CTGAAGGTGATTCCTGCCTCCAACCCGGGTTCTGGTGGGGTTTTTTTTTTGTTTGTTTGTTTTTTTCTGACTCGCTAGAGCGAGGTTTTGTCAACCGCGCTTTAAGGACTCGGGCGAAATCCCTTCTGCCCCTGGTTGGTTCTGGCTGGACAAAAGCTCTGGGTCGGGAGAGAAACCGCAGCTCCGAAGGAATGCAGCGAGGAGCAGAGCGATTTGCGGAGCCAGCTTGGAGCCGCGTCAGAACGCTCGCGCTTCGGGCCGGGTGCTGGCGCGTGTTTACAGTGACAAAGAGTATTTATAATATCAGGGGCTCTTTTAATTCCTCTGAGAATATCTGGAGCCGCTGCTTGGAGCTGTTGTAACTGAGTAATGGAAGATAAAAAGCAAACAGAGGAAGGAACAGTGGGTTTTTCAAGTTGAAAGGTCCTGCTTCTCTCAACCAATATCCTAATATTGTTGGCCTGCCAGCGAAATGCTCTGGCTCCTTCTCACCTTCTAGGTTACTTCATCTGGCTGCTCTGCTGTACGTAGCATCTAAGAAAGTATTGTATAAATCCTCAAAGCATCTGCGCGATTCCAAATATCCCGGGGAACAAACAGCATGATATTAAGGAGATGGGCTAGCAAAATCAGTAGTTATAACATTACTTTCTGTGTAAGGGAAATAGCCAAAATACAGTTACTGGGCTTACTTCTGAAGAAAGCCCTAAAGCCTGCTCCACAAATGCTCCTAAAATGGAAATAGTGCGCTCTTGCCGCTTGGGGAGCGCTGGGTGGGTCGTGGGGGCTGAGCAGAGTCTTTTAAGACTCTCCCAGTGAGTAAAGAGCTCTTGCGGTACGGAGGAGACACCTCCTGAGATGGGTGAGACCAGATGAGCTTAAACTGAAGCAAGACAGTCCAACAGCAGGAGAAACTTCCAAACAGCAAGGGAAGTGCAGGAATGGCTCTGCGCGTTGGCCCAGGTGCCTGTCCGACCTGTCCTTTGAGACCTCCAAACGGCTCTCAAGGATAAGACGGGCAGAAGTCATCCCAAGGCGGGGATTTACTCGGCTTCTCAGATCCCGGCTAACCAGAACATTTATCTTGCAATAAACGTTTCAGATGTTCCATCGCCTCCTTGGGCTTCAATGAATAAAGCAAAATACTTGATGAGATGCAAAGTCGGAGCAATAAGCGCTGTATCCCTGGCAAGGGGACGCTGCCGGCAGGATGCTGCTGCTGCTTGGGCCCCGTCGCAGGCTGCGGCAGAAGCGTCCCTGGGTGAGAAAGGAGGTGAACGCGGCCCC